TCCCTGCGCCGCTCCCTGCGCCGCTCCCTGCGCCGCTCCCTGCGCTGCTCCCTGCGCTGCTCCCTGCGCTGCTCCCTGCGCCGATCCCTGCGCTGCTCCCCTCTTGCAGAGCTCCCAGAGCCGCTGGAAGGGTTCTAAGGTGGCACCGGCAGAGGCAGCAGCAAAATCAGGTGGGAAATGGAAGCAAAATCAGGTTGGAAATGGAAGCAAAAGCAGGTGTGAAATGGAAACGGGTTTGAAATGAAAGTGGGTTTGAAATGAAAGCAAAAGTGGGATTCAAATGAAAGCAAAAGCGGGTTTGAAATAAGAGGTTTGAAATGGAAGCAGGGGCAGGTTGGAAATGAGAGCAAAAGCAGGTTTGAAATGGAATAAAAGCAGGTTTGAAATGGAATAAAAGCAGGTTTGAAATGGAAGCAGGAGTGGGTTTGAAATAAAAGTGGGTTTGAAATGAAATAAAAATGGGTTTGAAATGAAATAAAAGTGGGTTTGAAATGAGGGCGGGTTTGAAATGAAATAAAAGTGGGTTTGAAATGAAATAAAAATGGGTTTGAAATGAAATAAAAGTGGGTTTGAAATGAGGGCGGGTTTGAAATGAAATAAAAGTGGGTTTGAAATGAAATAAAAATGGGTTTGAAATGAAATAAAAGTGGGTTTGAAATGAGGGCGGGTTTGAAATGAAATAAAAGTGGGTTTGAAATGAAATAAAAGCGGGTTTGAAATGGAAGCGGGAGCAGGACGAGGTTCGAGGTTTGTCGGCTCTGCTGCTCGCTCGGTGTTTAAAGCAAACGGAGAAAAACAACCCGGAACCGACGAGTGCCGGGCGAGAATCGCTGCAGGCTGACCCGGGCTGCATCTAACGGGCTGCACAGGAGAGCAGTGCTGGTGATGCATTTCCTGCAGCTGCTGCCGGTGCATTTCCCGCAGCGCTCCCAGTGCATTTCCTGCAGCTGCTGTCGGTGCATTCCCTGCAGCTGCTGCCGGTGCATTTCCTGCAGCTGCTGCCGGTGCATTTCCTGCAACTGCTGCCGGTGCATTCCCTGCAGTGCTCCCAGTGCATTCCCTGCAGCACTCCCGGTGCATTCCCTGCTGCTGCTGTCGGTGCATTCCCTGCAGCACTCCCGGTGCATTCCCTGCTGCTGCTGCCGGTGCATTCCCTGCAGCACTCCTGGTGCATTCCCTGCAGCGCTCCCAGTGCATTCCCTGCAGCTGCTGGTGGTGCATTCCCTGCTGCACTCCCGGTGCATTCCCTGCAGCGCTCCCAGTGCATTCCCTGCAGCGCTCCCGGTGCATTCCCTGCAGCGCTCCCGGTGCATTCCCTGCAGCGCTCCCAGGGCTCAGGACGGCGTTTCCCAGCACAGGACAGAGGATTTTTTCCAGCGCCGTTTTCCATCCCGGCTGCAGCTCGGGCCAGGAGCTCTCTGCAAGCGCCGCAGCTGAAATTTCCGCTCGGGCTGCTCTTCTGGCACAGAAATGCGTCCCAAGGCCGCTGGTTAGAGGAGGAGCTCGTTGTCCCGCAGGAATTGCTGGCAGCGTTCCTGGTGAGCTCGGGAGGAGCTCGGCGCAGGTGCTGGGAAGGCAGAATCCGAAAGGAATTCTAAATATGACTCCGTAGCCAGAAAGGCCCAGGAAGAAACACAAATGAAAGCAGGGTTGGAGTAATTCAAACAAACTGAGCTGGTGTGGCAGAACACATTCGGTCCCCCCAAAAAACTGAGACCCCTCTCCCCAGCCTTATTAAAAAAAGGTCTAAAGGACCCTGAGATAACGAAAAGCACGCAAAAGCAGCGATTTCTGTCGGTCACACACAGATGTTTCTGTGTTAGTACACTCAGAAAGGTCGGTTAGTGAAGGAAAAGTCAATGTACAGATGATATAAACAATTGTAAAAGAGAATTCTCTCTCCTGGTTCTCTTCCCTTCGTCTCTCTTGGCCTTCTCTCCTCTCGCTTTCCACCCTCCTGCTGCTGCTTTTTCCTGCTCTTTCCTGCTCTTCTTGAACTCTTTTTCCCCGGCTCTCTCACTTCTCTCACTCTCTTTCTTACCAATCTTAAGTCTTGAGCTCATGGATTCACATTTTACCCCCTTTTGTGTTCTCTCCGAGCCTGCTCTGAGCTCTGCTGGCTCCTAGCAGAGCTCTCTCTCTCTCCCCCATGCCCTGAAATAAACTCCTAAACTTTAGAACGTTTTATATTGTTGGCTTTTCGCAAATATTAAAATGAATAATTTTAATTATTCATTTTAATATTTGCAAAAATATTAAATCATATTGAATAATTTTAATTATTCGTTATAATATTTGCAAAAATATTAAATAATATAATATCGAATAATTTTAATTATTCATTTTAATATTTGCAAAAATATTAAATAATATTTAATAATTGTAATTATTCATTTGAATATTTGCAAAAGTATTAAATAATATTGAATAATTTTAATTATTCGTTTTAATATTTGCAAAAATATTAAATAATATAATATCGAATAATTTTAATTATTCATTTTAATATTCGCAAAAAATATTAAATAATATAATATCGAATAATTTTAATTATTCATTTCAATATTTGCAAAAAATATTAAATAATATAATATCGAATAATTTTAATTATTCGTTTTAATATTTGCAAAAATATTAAATCATATTGAATAATTTTAATTATTCATTTTAATATTTGCAAAAAATATTAAATAATATTTAATAATTGTAATTATTCATTTTAATATTTGCAAAAGTATTAAATAATATCGAATAATTTTAATTATTCATTTCAATATTTGCAAAAAATATTAAATAATATAATATCGAATAATTTTAATTATTCGTTTTAGTATTTGCAAAAATATTAAATCATATTGAATAATTTTAATTATTCATTTTAATATTTGCAAAAATATTAAATGATATAATAAAGAATAATTTTAATTATTCATTTTAATATTTGCAAAAATATCATAGAATTATACACTCTGCCAGCTCGGGGTTATGTGTATAAGAACAAGAAATTTTTGTTGTATTAATATAGTTTTCTTTATTTCTTTATTGATGAAATTTAGGAATAGTAGTATAATACATATATTGTATTATATTATTATATTATGGCTATGGCATAGTATTAAAATAAAAACTGCTTTTGTTTGTGTAACCCAAAGACTGAG